TAGCAACACGAGCAATTTATATAATTGCTAACCAAACACACACACTTCCACACCTAGCTCCCTGTAAAAGTATGGAGTAAATATCGATAACAAACAGCTTTAATAAAAAGTTTGAGCAATATTGCTCAAAACTGCTGCTAATGCACAAATCCAAAGCAATTTTAATTATGCACATTTTTGTTGCATGCGATTTTCGTTTTGGTCTTGCTTTACCTGCAAGTGTAAACATTTTTCGGATTTTCATGGAAATATTTCTTTACACTTTGCAGTTTTTCACAATTAAACACTTTTTTTACAACAACACAGCAATCACTAAACTTCGAACATAAAACCCGTCGCTTGAAGGTAAAAAGCGCTTAAGTGCATCTTTGTAAATTTCGAAAAAAAAAATTTTAGAAATGTTTTCGTTATCAAATACGTTTACTTTGGTGAAAGGTACGGGCCAAAGTTAATGCTAACTCATCTTTCTTTTCTACGGAAATAATTTAGTTTGATATAAATTACAACAAATTTGCGTACTGAAATCAATTTTGGGTTGAGTCGAGTTAGGCCACTTTAACTGAAAGGACTTGCGTCTACGCAAATATTTGAAAATAGTTTTCGTAGCCATGCACACACAACTATATATAACTGTTTATGTAAAAACTACTACATAACAACAAGGTTTATGTATGCATATCTATACATATTCATCGATGTATAAAAATGTATGTATGTATATAACATCGCATAGCACAAAGCACTTACAAAACATTGCCGAGTGGAATTACTACTTTCTTGAGGTAATTCTTCAATTTTAAAAGGAATTCGACAGCTGTTCCTTTCTCCCTCTTGGTTAAGCTGTGTGCACACTTGTTCTTTTGTATTGCAAATTTTGTTATGTACATTTCCTTGTTTGTGGTTTCTTTAGTTTGTGCAAGTTTTTCAAGCGGTTTGCACCACTACACATACCTCGAGGTACGCAGCACTTGATTTGAAGTCTTTAATTTTGACACACGGCTTCAAAGGCATTCTAAACTACATTCGCTTTATTTGTTTAGGCTACTAGAACTACTACTACACTCACACAATCACATGAGTATACAAAGCATGAATATTGGTTTGATTATTGGTTTGTGTAAATGGGAGCGCTTTTATTTCTTTTCTGTGTCTGTGGGTGTGGGTGTGGCACTTCGCTTTGTTGGAGTTGAAAAGTGGTTTCACAACCACAAGAATTCAATATGAGTTTGCCAATGTACTATTTTGCATATTTTACGTGTGGAGGCCTACAAAGAACCAGGCCAAGTGTGTGTAAATATCGCGAAGAAAAAATATAATGGAAACGGTTATCGATTTTTATGTGGCGATATGTGCCTTCTTCCATGAAATACTCAACAATGAGGAATTTTGTAAGAAAAACTTTTAACATTGCTTTCTAATTTTGTTAACAACAATCTCTCGACCGTGAGAAAACTTTTTAGGCTTAGGCAATTTTTTTTTTTTTTTTTTTTTTTTTTTTTTTTTTTTTAGTTTTTTTTTTTTTTTTTTTTTTTTTTTGTTCTTTTTATGAAAAAATCACAAAATATTATTCAAATATTGCTCTTTGATATACTCAAAAGCTTTTGAAAATTAATTAATTTATTATAGGAAAATGGCATTTTTTCGGCCGTCAAACCCAATTTAACCCCTTAAGCCGCAAGTCTTCAGAGCTCCCATCTTTTAACAGAACCGACTCGCGCTTCGTTCAATCACACCCGCTGTGGATTATGCTTGAGTTGCAAATATAAGCTAATACACTACCATACCAGAATTCTTGAAAATTACTAATATCCTCGTTAATGGGGCTTGACTCAATTTCAGCTACACTTCATAAACAAAATTATGATGAAGAAAGTATTCGCCTTAAGCAACCACGCTGTAACGGCATGTACATACATATGTGTGTGTGTACGCAACTGAAATATGCATCATTAACTTACTACTTACGAGCAAATAAGCACAATAGAATGCTAGTACACCTTTAAGTGGTGTCGAGCCATGCGTAGACAAACAGACGCGCACGTGTAGCTCTATATACATACATATGTATGTATAGTAAATACTGGTGAGTGGCATTAACGAAATAGCATTTATACCCACAAAGGCTTTTGGCGAAAAACACAAAGACGCAAAGTGAGTATGAAACTCAGAAGGCGTAATCTCACCTGCAAAGTAAACCGCAAAAGCTTCTCAGGTGAGAGTTCATGGGAATGTGTGCTCACAGTTGGAGCTGCTTCGGCATGTTTTTGGTACCTACATAAGTATATATTTAAGTGTATGGTAAGCAAAAAACGCCACGTAATCACCTACATGTTGCTAATGAATTTAATTCCATACCAACCGATCCATGATAAAGCTGCAGACAATAAGGGCAGGGGTAGATTTTTGGTTGAAAACGATAGCAGAGGACTTTTGCCATTGCTAGTGGGTTGATATTGAAACTGCAGTAAGAAGCGTTACACAGACTCTAGTCGGAAAAAATTAAAACAGTGGTAATTTGTTGTTGTCTTTTTTGCTTGCCATTTTACTATTTTAACATTAACTTTCCAAAACACATTGTTAACAAAATTATATTTTCAGAAGTAACGTTTTCAAATTAAATGAAAAAACACATACGATAAGCAAATAAAGTTTTCAAAAATCAAACTTTGAAAAGAAATGAATCAATAATTTTCAAAAACTATTCAGATTTTCTTAAATGAAAATTTAATTATAATTTTAAAATAAAATTTTTTAAAAATTAAAGTTTTCAAATATAAAACAAAAAAATAATAATTTACAAAAATTGAGTATATTTGAAAATTTTTGAAAACTACCTAAACATATTTTCTAAAAATTAAGGCCTTAATAAATCAATGTTCAATAACTATATCTGGAAATTTAAGTTTTCAAATAAAGTTTTGAAAAATTGAGTTTGAAATATAAATTTTTCAAGACCAAAATTAAAACAAGAAATTTCTTTTTAAAAAAAAGTTATCAAAAAATTTAGGAAAACTATAAACTATACATGTTTTCCAAAATTTAATTTTCCCAAATTAATTCCTCAGTAATTACATTTTCAATGACTAAGTTTTAAAAAATTATGTTTGAAAAATAAAGTTTTCAATATTAATGTTTGAAATATTAAATTTTCGAAAAAAATTCGAAAAATAAATTGAAAACCTAAAGTTTCCCAAAATTAGATTTTCAAAAATTATACGTATTTTCAAAAATAAAGTTCTCAATAATTAAGTTTTCAACAATTAATTTTAAAAAATTGCATTTCTAAAATGAAACCCAAACTTAAAAAAAAATTCAGAATTTTAATTCAAACTTAATAAAGTTTTCAAAATTTAAGTTAATAAAAAAAAAAAGTTTTCCAAAATTAATGAAACTAAATATTTTCAAAAATAAAGTTCTCCAAAATTAAATTTTCAATAAGTGAGATTGAAAAATTTAGTTTTTAAAAATAAAGTTTTTCCTACATAAATACAGTTGGCAAAAATTAAATGTTCAATTAAATTTGAAAATTTGAGTTTTTCAAAAACCGATTTCAAAAAAATAATCAAAAACTATATTTACAAATATATATATTTCAAAAATATAAATCATAAAAATAAAGTATCCAAAAATTAGATTCTCAAAAAATAAAATTTTAACACAAGATTTGTAGTTGCGACCATGTAAATAAACTCATGTCACACAACATTGATTTAATTGCAGCTCAGCGCAAATCGTTCGGAAGTTTCTACTTAATTACTTACTTGGGTATATTCATTTGATTCTAATATTACTAAGTACCGTCTCGGCAAAGCCTCAAATAATAATCATTACTCACTACACCCTAACACTTACCCGCCAGCTGCAACGTTTCTAAACTAATGTTGTTGTTGTTGTTTACCTTTATATAATTCTTGGTACATATACAATATATGTACAAACACATATACGATTCCCGAATTTCACCACATCTGCAATCCAAAAATCCTTTTAATTAATTTCTTAGCTTTCGCACACCTGATGGTCGGCCCGACGCCCAAAAGTATGCTACATAGCGCTGCGTAGGCTTTTAAACTCACACTTTACAACGGTACATAACTGCATTGTTTTTGTGTCTGTATTTATGTATTTTTCGCCAGCCGCCAGCGCGTGTGACGGCATAGGGTTAATGTCTGTGCGTGCATTGGTATGCAAGAATGCGGCTTCGCGCCTCTAATATGATTGGCATAGTCTGTACGTGCTCAGAATTTTGCGTAATTTTATTGTCACTCAAATCGCTTGCCGCCGCAAACTGCGTCAGCAAAATTTCACAAAAGCCAGACAGACTCTGCGCTGCATTTATGAGTGTGTGCGTGTGTGTATTTAAATTTGATTATTGCGTATTACCGCATATACTTTTATTGCCAGCAATTTTGTGGCAGGTGAATTTAAATCAAAAATTGTTCGTGGAAAACGTTGTGGAAGTGTGTTTGTTTAGGTTTCGGCATCATTAGAAGGGAGGGACTTCGCTCAGACGAATGAAAAAATCAAATAAGTGCTAAATATATGCAAAAGTGTGGTTAGAAATGCAAACGTTCGTGGCGTTTTGAAGTTAGTCGTTATCAACAAAAAAGTCGAAATTGAGTTTTTCATTGCTTACGATTCACTACATCATGTTACATATATGTCACATTAAATTTTCAGCTTCCGCTGACAGATATAACCAATATGTAACCAATAATTAACTAATATATAACTAATATATAACCATTATATAAGTAATATATAACCACTTTATAACCAAAACTCAAATTTTGTTTCATATGAGTGGTTGCAATTACATACATTATATCGTTTTTTCTTCGCCAGTCAACCCTTGAAAAGTGATTTACGGTGTTTTGCATTTAAGGTGACTAAACGTATACTTACCTGCTGGTTTGCCATACTAAAAATAATTACACAACTCATATTCATATATACGCACATAATTTTATTCATATTTCAATGAAATGAGACTTAGTTTGAATTCATATTTTTAATTAAGTACATAGTGGTGATAAATACAGAAATATTGAATATTATTTAAGAGATAAATAGGAATAAATTTCAGCTCAGACACACGTAAGTAGTTGTTTAAGCATTACAAAAGATTACTAAAGGATGGCAACATGCTTTGATGTAGCTATGTATATGTAGGTATGTATGTATGTGTGTGCGTTGCAATCACAATTCAAGCTGTTTATATGTATATAGGTATATATGTGTATTTGTGTAATATATTAAGGTGTTTATGTAGGTCTTTAGATCGCCAATACCTTAGGGGGTACTTCAAAAAGCCTAAGCGCCTGGCTTCCCTGCATACATACATACATGCGTTTATACATACATGCCATAATGCACTTACAATGTTTTATGTCTTTTATATAATCTTTTTTATGGAAATACTTATAATAAAATGCAATGATATACGCTTGCAACTGTTGAAAACATATAGTTTTTAGTTTCTTTCTTGCTTCTAACTCCATATTACTTTTCATACCATACATATAAAGGTATAGTTGTATGCTTACACTCGCACAAATATAATTAAAAAAAAAATTCTTTACATTTATGGTCTATACACAAAAGAGATCTCCATTTCTTGACATTCCAAGTTGCACATTCACAATTTACAAGTATGTTTTCAAAATATTTCTTTTATGTATGTGTGTGTAATACACTATAAGTTTAAAAAATGCTTAAAAATTTCGCTCATACAATAATACATATATATTCTCTTCGATCTAATTTAGAATTGCTGATTATTATAATTTTGTATTTTCAGCTTTTATTAATTATATTTTGTTTTGTTTAAATATATATGTATTTTTTGTTTTATGT